ATCGACACCGATATTCTCCTGCCGTCTACCACAGCGTTATTCATCCTATCCTTTGCATTGAACAGATCCTCCTCACTTGCAAAATGCACAAAGGCGAATGTGTAGTTCTTGTACTTTGGCCTTCTATTAACAAACGGAATGAATACTTTAATCACCTTGCCGAAATAACTAAAACGCTCCCATAAAACACTTCTATGAACTCTCCTGCTAAGATTATCAATGAACGCTACCCATACTCCTTCGCCAGGCAGTGCTCCGCCTCTGTCTGAAGAACCAATACCATTCGCCACACTCACTCTCTCACTAACTTTCTCACTCATCACTGCATTCACTCAAAAGTTATGATTTTGGCTACACTTTCAGCCAGTTCACCGGACTGTTATAAAAATAAAACTTGGATTTCTCGGATTATTTCAAAAAAGCTTATAATACGTTTTCTACGCTGGAAGTGGGGGAAATTGACCTTGTTTATGCTAAGTTGTCTGCTGAGCAAAGGGGCCGTCTTGAGGACAAATTTTCTGAATATGAAGTTTGGGAAGCAATTTCTTCATCAGCTAGTGATAAAGCCCCTGGTCCAGATGGTTTTACTATACAATTGAAATGTCTTTTAGTTTTGCGAGTCATTGATCTAACATGCCAACAAAGTAATCAAAAAAGACAGAACTGACACCAATCGCCCTCTCAGGTATGTATCACGCCACTATTGGAACTATTAAAAACAATAAAAAAATGAAAATATCATATTAGCTCCGTTTGAAGATATTAAGTTTTCTTTCAGTTCTGTAAGCACTACTACGCAAGGTAAAAAATGATCTTGACCAACTGACAGCATAAACAGTAATGCTATCATTATTCAAGCGCAATGTGCTTTTCCATTAAAGACAAAACACTTCATCCATTGATAGTAATGAAAACCGTCTGTCAAAAATTTTAGTTTTTCACATTAAAAGCATTAAGTTCTGAATGTATTTATTAAAAGTCACGATGTGCGTGGTGCACATAGCAAAGAAGGGAAATTGGAGGATCATTGAAAAGAAACCATGGAATCACGGAAGGCACCTTTAAACACACAAAAGATGAAAAGTACCTCACACCAATCCAAGCAATCAATAGCTTTAACCCTCTTTGCCTCCTCTTTTAATATCTTTTTTGCACCTACAAAAGCCCTCCGCATAACCCAACTAAGAACAGAACATTTTTCAAGTACATTTCTAACAATAACAGGTTCAACTCTCACCCAATGGGTTTGAAAATGCTGAATATTATTGTCTTCCAACTGCATAACATCCGGGCAGTACACAACGTTGTCATGACTTTTCTCTCTATGTGCTGCCTGTCTTCAAAAAATTTTGCTTCATTTCTTGCAGAGCAGCTGGTTTGACACATAGAACAGCTTTCAGAAAACTTGATATCAGGTAACAGAAAATTAATAATGAGTTCCTCAGCACTCTGAATCAGTTGCTCAACAGAATTAGTTTCAAAGAAGCATCTCAGTGTAAGTGTCCCACTACCACAACCACCCCTTCCTTTCGGAGGACAAGGAAACTCACTGTCTGCCTCAGCCCTCCAATCCAGTGCGTTACATGACATAGACAGCTGGGGAGAAGATTTTGCTTCATTCTCTTCAGGCTGAGATCCTTTTCTAATTTCATGATAGCATGTGATGCATAGATCATAAAAACAATCATGATTCGGGCAGCTTCTGTGGAAATTGATAATGGATGTTTTGCAATTGTCACTGTCAAGAGGGAAACTTTCATAGTCATCACATCATCTAAAGACGGTTATAACTACACAAAATTGTACAAGGTAGTAGAAGACAGCATGAACTATCAAGATTGATGCATATCAATCTATACAACCCATTACTAATAATACTACAATTCATGTACTCCTAAGAAAGAATCATAAAATAATCCTGAAGTTTCTTAATGGTGTGAATTGGTAAGCTTTCTGAATCAGTATCATCAAAGCTGCACTATCCTAGGATAACCCATTTTTGCATCTTCCGACTATATTAAAAGTATGTACACTGATTACCTCTTCACTGAAAGTACTTTCAGAAAATATTACATCTATATCCTTTAGAGCCACATCCGCTAAATTCCCTATTAAGGAGGAAAATAAAATAAAATAACCTAAACTGCGAGATAGATCTAAAGGACAGTTTCTGTTATATATAGAACCGGACATAAGCCACTCCTTACGTACTAATTTTAGGCTTACAAGCAATCCAGTCTCATGTTTATTAAGAAAGCAAGAGAAAATTAATACGGTTAAGAATGTAAGCTGTTCCCAAGTAACTAACATAATATGAGATTTTCAATTAAAAAATAAAGAACAAAATGAAAACCATAAATTTCTCCTCGGTTTCAAAGATCACGAGATGATACCAATACACTTGATCATCATCATCTATCACTGATACCATTATATCTTGTTCTGTCAATTGCACACCTATGGAAAAAGAAGGCACGCATCACTCAGAATTTCGAAGCATCATCTAGCATAAAAACCAAAATTTACAAACTCATATCACATTACAGTACCACGTATGCTGACTTTTACCTCTAATTCAGCATGTTGCTCCTGTTGTATATGCCAAAGCAGAGGCAGAATCTCGTGTAGCAAATAAAGTAACTTTTGCAGTTTAGTATTTGTATCTGCTTCCTCATGCTCATCCTGTCAAATAGTATGATTCATTTGACATCAGAATGTACACTAGGAGACAAATTCAAAGTAGCTTGAACATAAGATAAAGACCTGGGCAACCCTCATGTTAGGAGAGGGTTTTACTGATGCTGCTGATGCCAACAGAAAAAGAGAGTGGTGTTGGGGGGGCGCGGAATAAAACATGAGACAAAACTATTCGGAAGGCCCTTGCTTGTGGTCTGACTAAAAAATGTTCCTAAGTAGAGCACTATGCTGGCAATCTGAGCCGAGTACTACAAGGTTTCATTTTTGTTGGCACGAGGATAAAACATGAGATAAAACTATTCAGAAGGTCCTTGCTCGTGGTCTTACTTAAAAATGTTCCTAAATAAAGCACTATACAGGCAATCTGAGCCAAGTAGTACTGCAAGGTTTCCTTGATGTTCAATCAGCATGTAGAGTCCCATAAGTTTAGCAAATAAACAGAAGGGAGAAAATTAGTAGAAGGCACATACCATGACAACTAACTTCTCCCTGAGGCATAATCTGCAATTACAATTGCCTTGACAAAATGGACAAGCAGTTTCTACATCCTCTCTTGTTTTCTCAGGATACATGTAACATTTGCAATGGCGTTAGGAACATGATATAAAATCCCCTTCACATTTACAGAAGGGATCAGCAAAATATCAGAGTTCAGTTGGTTATAAAACAACAGTCCAATGAGTTTCAATTAGAATACAGATACTAGTTCAATTAACAAACTCAATTCCAAGGTTGAAGAATTTAAGAGTTCTTCCAAACAAGAAGAAAATGTGTTTTGCAAGTATTAACCATTTTGTAAGGCACTCAAAGAAATAGCGTTTTCTTTTGCAACTGGAACAACTGACAATACTCCTGTTACTCTTCCAGCACTGGTGGCACATAAAACCCCTCTTTAAAACCCTCTTCACTCTCTTCTGGCTTATACCGTCCTGACAAGGAAATTAAGCTGTAATAATAAATTTCACCAGAAATTGGAATCAAGAAAATCAACCAATGTGATTTTACCTTGAACTTTAGCCTAGATAACTGAAAAGGAAATTTCAAAGTGTATGAAACTTTTCCTCTATATATAAAATGCATCCCCCTCCACATGGTTCCATAACCAACAATCATACAATGATATCCTCATATTCATTCCCATCTCGTACCACTCATAAAGAAATGCAACTTGTCATCACAGCAAGCACCCTCTATGTTTCCCTATTTCCAACTCAATTTACTTCTGACAAAATAAAAATTAACTCTTTGAAAGAAATAGCTGTTTAATTCCTTATGCAATTCTCCCATATGCATGAGACATTTAGAGCAAATTAAAGAAATTATAACTGCAACCAGTTCAAATATTTTGGAAAACTTCTGAAACACTAATAAAGTCACACCAAATCTTCAATTCTATTCTCAGTTTAGAACTTTCCTTTTGACCACAGCCTAACAGCGTATTAGGAAATATGAAAGAAGTTTAATGAATTAGCATTTTGAGTATTCAAAAGAAGCAAATTTCCTATCATTCCCTGTGACTTTTTATTCACAAACTGTATACAATGCTTAGTGATTTAGTTATTTCAGTTACAACTCTACATACCCTGAAATAACACTCCCTTCAGAAATCTCATCAGTGGTATGTAAAATAGAGTTAAGGTAAAACTCACTAGTGAAACTGAACTTTCTGATTTACCTCTTGACTTCTTTTTCCTCACTCTAGTCTTCCTTTGAGCATGGCCAATATCAGTAGTTAATGCATTTCTTTTCTTGTTTAAACTTCCTCGAACACCAGCTGTTAACACTCTCTGCATGTCTAAATTACCTGAAACACTCTTGTCTGTCTTCAAATCATTTATTTCGAACTGTTCTCTATGTGCCTGAGACTTAATTCTATTCTTTCTTCTCACAATCACCATGCTAAACAAAAGTTTTTTCTTATTCTTTGAGCCTTTGGGTCGGCCTCGATTCCACTTTCATGCACGACCATCAGTCTTGCAAATAGTGTCCCCATCTTGATGGGCTTCTTCTTTTGACACCATGCTAGACAGTTTTTTCTTATTCTTTGAACCTTTGGGTCGACCTCGATTCAACTTTCGACCATCAGTCTTGCAAATAACATCCTTCCCTTGATTGGATTCTTTTGGAGAAGCAGTTGGCCTCTCATTCTTCCAGTCCTCATTACAGCGATGTTTAACCTTGAGACCAATGTTCTCAGAGTTACCTTCATTAGCACCAGAGAGAATTCCCCTAGCTTCCTCATCTGAAACTGGATTTATGTCACCCCCACAATTAATAGCTTCAACAGGCACAACCATATCTCCAGGCAAGCATTGCTTATCCTTTGATCGCAAGGTTTTCTGTTCACATAGTCCAAAATTTTCATCACTTGTCCTTTTCTGCTTATTCTTTGAACCGTTTGGCCGGCCCCATTTTCTCTTTGGTTGGACAATGTAGTTTCCCTTCATAATTCCATCTGAGCCTTCACCACCCTCAATTGTACCAGACATTTCTTGGTTTTCTTCAGCAATGATTTTCTTCCGATTCTTAAGAGCCTTTGGTTCACTATTCCCATTGTTCAACTGAAAGCTGTCATCACTAGTACCCCCCTCAATATCACAAGATATGCCTCGATTCTCACCTGGAAGACTTATCTTCTTTGAGACCATTGCCGGACCTTCCTTCACTATGGAGCAAACAATCTCATGTCCAGACTTGTAATCAGCACCAACTCCACTTCTTTGCCTTGTCCAGCAGCTAGTTTTTTGTTTCGTTTCTTTGAACCCTTTGCCGGGCCACGTTTTCTCTTGGATTGGACAACATTATTTCCTGCTCAATTCCGTCTGCACCTTCACCACCCTCAACTATACCAGACATTTCTTGGTTTTCTTCAGCGCCAACTCCACTTAACCCTTCTTTGCCTTGTCCAGCAGCAAGATTTTTGCTTCTATGTTTTGAACCCTTTGGCCGGCCACGCTTAGGCTGAGCCTTACGGGGATCTTGCGTTTTAACCTTACTATCACTTAACCCTTCAATTCTCCGTTCACTACCAATAGTTTTCTTCTTATTCTTTGAACCCTTTGGCCTACCACGCTTGCCCTCAGCTTGCCCTCCATCATTACTTACCTTCTGCTTGACTACGTTTTCAATGTAACCACCTTGACCTTGGTTTCCCTTACCAGCAAGAAGGGTTTCATATTTGCCTTCAACATCTACATCGATACATTTAAACCTACTATCACTTAACCCTTCAATACTCTGTTCACCGCCAGTAGTTTTCTTCTTATTCTTAGAACCCTTTGGCCTACCACGCTTGCCCTTAGCTTGCCCCTCTCCTTTTCTTCCCTTTTGCTTGCCTACGTTTTCAATGTAACCTCCTTGACCAACAAGAAAAGTTTCGAGTTCGTTTCCACGAGTATTTTCATCAACAAACCCCTAAGTGCCTTTACCATCCACATTGCTACACTCAGCTTCACCAGAAAACAACTGGCTTACTTCGCCACCAACATTCAAACCCTTGTCTGGTTCACCCAACCTCAAACAGGTCTTCCATTAGTCCATCTGCAAGACCCATTCCACCATTTCCAAATGCAACCCCACCAGACCCACCCATCTGATTTCCCCACCACCACCAAGATCACCAAATACACCACTTCACCAAACCCAGGAGCAACTCCACCGTAATCACCAATCCCGAGTCCGAACCCATCTTCATTTTCAACACCCCAAAGCTTAAAACTTTCACCTCCATTCACACCCTCTTCCCCAAACCACTGCAGAACACTCTCAACAATACTACTACCTTCTCAAAGCCAACTTTGAGCTTCTTGCGCACCCTCATTCTCAACTGCAGCTTTGATTTGATGACCCCCTTCGGGCTTCCCCACTTCCTCTGCCACTCGCTTCACAGTCCCCTGACTAATTGCTCTACGCTTTCGCATCTTTCTTTGAGTAATTCCACCGTCGCCATCACTTTCACTCATCTTGCTGATGTTCTTCACCGCACAAAGACTTGATAGTCTAAGTTCTGTCTCTTTTACACATACAAGTTACAACTCGGGTGCCTGTTGTAAGGCACCTTACTCATGATGATCATTAATCCATTTGATCCTAATCAAGAAAGACCTTTTAAAAAAAGGGATTGACTTTAGTTTATCTGAAACTATACCCTTTCCATGCAAACATACAAAGGTGATATCCTAATCCGACGGCTACCGTACAACCCAAAAGGATTAAAATCAAACTATCAAACCAAAAACTAATTCAGTTTTAAAAGCGGGAAAAGCGAATTCCTCAGCAACAATAGAAGTAGAACTGCAGGGGTCCGCAAGTGTAGCAGTTCTCGAGTTACTTAGAGAGGGTGACATGGAATCAATAATTCAATCAACATTAGAACCAAAACAAAAAAGGGGTTTATTGCTCAATGGTTGTTCAAGTGGAATCCGAAAGAAGGAAACCGAGTTCATTTATGTTTGGTGGACAGTAGAGAGGTCCCGCCATTAAAGAGCAATTGCACTTGTTTTGTTTGTTTACAATTCCTAGGTGGTTTGTCCTTGCTGGTAAGAAAATACGGTTAGCTGCTGCTAAGCACCGCCTCGCTCGCCCATAGACTTGGCTTTAGAATGAATACAGACGGAGGAGAAGAGATTAAAAGAGAGCTTCGGTGAATGAGAGAGATCATGCGTTAGTTTTAGATTAGGTTGATCTTTTAAATCTCATCTTACTTATTGATGTCTCACGTGGCTTTTTGAACTGCCAGGCATGAACTCAGCAGGTCTAAATTACTGAATTCAAAGCTTGAACTGCAGGCATAAGCTCTCAGCTTGACTGGCAGTCGTCAGACAGAACACTGAAATACAATCCTATTTTTATTGAATATTAAAATTTTTATTTATTCATCACAAAGCTTGAACTCAATATTTTATTTAAAGAAAACATCAAATTCAGTTTTTGGTGAGAATTTTGAGGCTTTCATTGATGGACAACGTGGTTGACCTAATAAAACCAATATGAATATTACACGAAGAAATTAATTAAAAACAATACGAATATCACAAATATACGATTTTATTAAAATTTTATAATATAAATTACCAATTTATCAAAACTTGTATATATGTACAAGCAATTCTGAACAAAAATGGGCTTATGATGGTTAAAATTTTCAAACCCGACAAATTCTCACTTAATGTGACTTTATATAAATTTAGATTCGGATCAAATTGGGCAGATTTAGTAAAGAAGATGGTTAGGATTAAGACGAAATCGAATTAGGGCAAATACCAATAACTCAACCCAACCTAAATAATTACTGCAATGCCCTTCTATATATCTAAATATAATAACTAATATACCTCGATATATTTTTTTCACCTATCATACCTCTCTCTCTCTCTCTCTCATATATATATATATATATTTCACCTATCATACCCACACATGCCCATCCCTAAAAGGGCTTGGTTCAGAATTTCAAATTATACTTGAAAATCTAAAACTGCCCAAAATTAACTTTGAAAGACACAATATTTCCAGGTTGGGCATTCATTTAGGGTGAGAAGAATCTATCTCCTACCAGTGTTAACCAATTAAGAAAATAAATGTATTTACTAAAGACGCAAATCTGGTGTCCGCGCCTACATTTTGAGAAACAACTGGGCATTATTTTCAACATGAGAAAAGCATATTTTGATCAGGAGAAGAAGTCTAAAGATAAACACATAAATGTTTTGCCTTTCTCAAGTGATTCATGATTCTGCACTCTGTTCAATCTGATAACATTAGACTTCAGTTGTTATTATCTCCTTGCTGCCTGAAACTGATGCTGCCATAAACAGTGATGTTATGGATAAGAAAACTTTGACAAATACTGAGAATTACATACGTGAGATAATATGAACCAAGACCCGTTTTCAGTTCAGTGTATGATTCAGATTTACCTGGGTTGCATATGATGAGCTTTGAGCAAGAAACTTGACAAAGTCTTGCTTCTTTATTTCAAAATTGAACTTGGCGTGATTCAGCAACGCGAGTTCTCTCTTAATATCCTCGTCCAACTTTTCCTTTTGCCATCTCGTCTCTTTCATCCGCTTCTCGGTTTCATTGTAGCTTTGCAGCTCCTCCGACATTATCGAGGTCTTGGGGAATCTCACATCTACCTCTTCCCTGAAATCAGAGTCAAAAAAATGATGCAACAGCAAACTAACCTGATTAATCAACAAAAACTTAAAGAATTTGTTTTCTGTAAACCGCTAGCAAAGGTTTTAACGTCCACAAGTAGGATTAATAAATTGTCTCTTATCTCAGTTCTTCAACTTTTTTGGTTTTGTATTACTTTTAAGAGTACTGACACTAGTCGATAAGTTTCAAAAGGAAATCTACCGAAACAAAACCTAAAATTCTTCTAAACAAGTAGTTTAATGCCTCATGCGCACAGATATAATGATCCACAATTTTTCTGCAGTTCAACTTTTGCTCGAAAACATGCTTCGCAATATAGGGACACTATAATCTGTTATACAATAAAATAATCTAATAATATTAAAAATAGACAAGTATCATTCATGGACTATGAGGAAAATGCATATAAATTTCAACATTGTTATTATATCCTAAGACATCTGAATCACGAGCAAACTGTGCTTTTGTTCCCAAATTGATGGAGTATAAAAGAAGTTTTCTGTATAATTTTCTTTGGTCAAAAATGAATTTTGCCACTTGCTAGACAGAACTTCTTACCGAGTGCCAAGAGAAAATACACCATTGCTTCTGATTATCCCACCGTCCAGAGAGACTGCTCCCTCGCTTATACAAGGAAGAGCAAGAACCATCTCTGCCCTGGTTCTGTATACTTGAAGACAGGAGAACATATTATAAAATAATGTCTCTCTGAGACCCTCCCCACTGGCAGTGACAAAAGATAAGTTTGAGCTGTCCACATGAATCATATTCACTGCAAAGCCAAGAAAGCCTGCAGGACACTCCCCATTTGGTAATCTTGGCTTTAAGAGATCAAGCCTCCTCTGGGGATCATCAGCTACAAAATCACCAGCATAAGGTCTGCAGGAGGCGGCGAAGGAATAGAAAACTCTGTTTAAGATATCATCAATAAACAAGATTTTAATCAGAAACAAATATAAGAGTCTGGACCTTAAACTTTCAAGACAAATTACAATAAATCGGCCATCTAGAGATCTCCCAATAGACGCTGCAATCCCGTGCAGACCAGAAGTTTTGTCTATGCAACCATCCTTGTTGAATGTTTCCAAAGCTTTAACACCTTCAAAAGTCTTACAAACAATTGCCAACATTGTCTGCACTCCTAGGTACTCTGAGAAAAGCCTAAAGATAAATAAGGAAACAAAAAGCCAAACATCAACTGTATGTCAGAATGAACAGTTTTCATAAAATACTCAATTAAGAGTCGACTGTAATCTATTTAATGAACAGGCAGCCCTATTCACAAGAAATTCCTCAAATAATTATAATGCAGCACATGCACTCAATCATCACCATTAACAAACACAACCCACGCGAGGTCTCGAACAAAAGGCATAAGCTACAAATTCCTCCCCCTCTTCCTCCTTTAAATTGACCCCAACGCATGAACTATCCAGCGTAACAGAATGATAAAGTTATTACTTTCTCATGCAAAAACATCCAAAATATTAGAAACTGCAGATGAATGACAAATGAAATCTTGTCAGGCATGATCCAGAAAGATTAATAGAAAATAGACTTTCAAACAGACCTATTAAGATTTTCATCATCTACTTTGCCAAGTGTAGCAACAGCACCCATTACATCTTTTGTCAAACTCAGATGAGAAGCTTGAGGGCCATGATGAGTTTTCAGCTGATATAGAATTCCTGCTGCTGACTTTTCATGCCGAAGAATTTGTTCAGTTATTTCATGCTCACTTTGAAGATGAAATTGGTCCTTGTTCTCAATAGGCGAACTAGAAGAATGATACTTGCCAAGCAAAACTGAAAAAAGATCAATTTATAGCCAGGAAAGTAGAAAATAAATATGCAGCATGAACTCAGTTCTTGGTACGAATATCCAGTATGAGTATGTGAGCATGTGTTAAATTTGATGATTCAGCTAAGAAGTATCCAAAGATAACATATGGATACATGAATCCTTCCAAATATTGTAGGGAATATAATAATGCTACTCATATTAGTCAGAAAATTAGCAAAATCAATTTGACTCAAATAACAACCTGTGCAAACATTGCAGTGTCTTTAACTCCATCACTGAATAGAGAAAGGGAGTTTAAGTCACGCATTCATTCAAATAAGAGAAGTATACCTTGCATATCAAGTATATTATCATCTAATTTGTTCTTCTGAGTCTTTAGAAGTTTTATGCTATCCTCATGCTGCTTGATTTTCATCCCCAACATTCGAAGATCATCTTGAAGTTTCTGCATAGATCATGTTATATCAAATTTACCTTAAAAAAGAGGCATAAAGACAAAAAAAATAATAGTTATAATATGTAATAAAGGAATGCTTGCATCTTTTTACAGCTTATACCGTCACAAAGAACCATAATATTTTCGGTTCTTTTAACCTCTACTGAAACACTGTAAAAGAAAGTTCAGAACCAAAACAACCTCAGAGCTCTCCATGATGGATTTAACTTCTGAAAATCCTCCATTTTGCATTTCTTCCCTAGAATTGAAAGAGGTTTCATTCAGATCCACTTGCATTGAAGTCGTGGTTTCAACAACCGTTAACGCCCTCGGTTGACTTGAAAACTGCAAAGAGTGAGAGTAATTAGCTTGCTTCTGAAAACATATATTTCATGTCATAAGCACTAGAAACTAAGCTTTAACATTTTAAAGGGAAAAAATAAAATCAGAATTCATTGTCTTCAACATGGAAAGTTACTGCAATGCACCATCTGATTATGAGTTATCACAATCCCAAAAGTTTCCTCAGCTAAAGAAACAACCACAAATAAGGCTATTAAGAGTGTTTAAACAGAATCAAAGTAAAAGCAAATGGGTATTCCAGTTTCCAACTTAAATTTTCAACAATAAATACTATTATTCAAGCCATACTCATGAAATCAGCAAATCTTCCCCGTAAAGGAAAGCCTGCTACCAGGAAACGTTAAAAAAATCCTTTTTCTTCTAAAATGTCCTCGGGAAAAGAAAAGCTGCTACTTTTTCTTTTCTTTTCCGCAGTGCCTACTTCTGAAATTAAAGCAGTAAATAGGTATAAACAAAGGAAACACGAGCACGCGTGAAAATAATTTCCTATCAAATGCCCGTTTGACCCAAGACAACATATCGGGGGCGAAGGGCGCATAAAAGAGCTGCATTCTTTTTATAAAGTGACATAAACGCGAGAACCGGTGCATGGAATTTCAAACATAGAGAAAAAATTTTAATTTAATTTTTTTGCTTCCCCTTCTGGTGAGATTTCGCGAGTGACCAAACAGAGTGTTGAGTAATTGAGAAAGAATCGAGAGTGAGTGAGCTCACCTGGTGGTTGGACGGAAACATTACTGAGTTGAGCTTTGACTCGCCTCCTTGATTTTTTTGTTCTTTCGGAAATTGGGAGCAGTGAAACTTTAATTTGGAATTTGTACTTTGGAATCGGGCTTTGATGTTCCAGAAAACATAACCAACCCCTCCAAATTATATGAAATATCATAGTTCCCACAAAAGAATATAAATTTTCAATTTAACTCCAAAGTCCTACTTTTTGAGGGAAAACAAAAAAAAAATATTCAGGGGAAAAAGACGTAATTTAGGTATGTTTTTTTCGCTGTAATTGATTTTTCGGAAAATATTTTCCTTATTTCCTAGTGTTTGGTTGATGGAAAACAGATGGTCAATATAATTTATTTTTTTGGTCAACAGAATTCAAAATATTAAAATCACACTAGATTATTTAAAAAAAATTTATTTTCATTAAAATCACACAAAATTAAACATCAAAAATATTAAACAAAATTTAGCTTAAAAATAAGAAAAGTCAAAAGGATAGAAAATGTAAATATTGAATGACTAAATTGAATAAAACACAAAATTAAATGATTAAATTGAAAAAAATATAAAATTTGTTGTCAAAATAAAGATTAAAATTACACATGTATTTTATAATGGTTGAGAAGTAGATTGTTCAAATTTAATGAAAAATATACTCAAAATAAAAAGGGAAATAAAAAAATCATCAAATTACTTTAGAGAAAATCGTCTCAGTGACCAAAAATGCCTTATAATATACGATTTTAATCAACTTTTTTTGGATTTGCCAAAATGACCAACAAAATCGCAATGCGAAATAAAAATCGCAACGCGATCTCCAGAATCGTAAATCAGTTCCCATAATCGCAACGCGATTATGAAGAATCGCAATGCGATAGTACAAATTCGTATTGCGATTTTCCAGAATCGCAACGCGAACATATAAATTGCAACGCGATTCTGACTATCGCAACGAGTATCCGTAAAATCGCAACGCGTATCCGTAAATCGCAACGACAATACGTAAAATCGCAATGCGTATCCGTAAATCGCAACGAGAATACGTAAATCGCAACGCGTATCTGTAAATCGCAACGAGAATACGTAAATCGCAATGCGTATCCGTAAATCGCAACGACAATACATAAAATCGCAACGCGTATCCGTAAATCGCAACGCGATTTTTAAAGCGCCATTAGAATCGTTACGCGTATTTTATTTTCAAATTCCAAACACGAATATTAATTATCGGAACACTGAACCGTCCACTGTATATCCCGTAATCGCAACTCATAACCTAAAACCTAAAATCACAACTCAGTCCCATCTCCATCTCTCACTCTCTACGGCGAAATCCGTCCCCATCTCCGAAGATTTCCGTCCCCATCTCCGGCGAAATCCCTCACAACCATTCACGGTCAGAAATCCCTCACAATCATTCAGAAATGGAAAATCAACCTCCGAAGGTTAGTTTTTTTAATTATTTTTATTTTGAAATTTTTGCATTATTTTAGGTCTTTCATATTGAAATTGATGATAAGTTTACTGGTAATTTCAATAATAGATTAACCATTTCACTTAGATTTCTTATTAAATTCATTCAATTGCTGCCAATACTGCTAAACTGTTTAGTCTTTAACCCTGTGAAGTTAGTATTTGTCTTTGTTTTGTCTTTTGGTTGAAGTAATGCAATCCATTAAAGTTTCAATTTGCAGAAGAAGGATAGTTTCTAAACTTAAAATCGCAACATGAAAATGAAAATCGCAACACGAAAATGATTATCGCAACGAGAGAAATGAAAATCGCAACGAGAGAATCGCAATGCGAAATGAAAATCGCATTGCGATTTTCATTTCGCGTTGCGATTTTAGTTTCGCGTTGCGATTCTCTCGTTGCGATTTTCATTTCGCGTTGCGATAGTCATTCTCTCGTTGCGATTTTCATTTCAACCAAAAGACAAAACAATGTTGCAAATTTTAGTTTCAAGAATAAACTACTACTCTTTATGTTTATTGTTTTTGGTATATCTTCACAGTGTAGTTTTTGGTATATCTAACTTGGTATGTTTATTGTTTTTGTAGAAATTTTTTTCGGCTTCATTGACATTAAGGAATAAAGTTAGCCTAGCCACTACAATTGCTTCGAAGCATTCACCTGCACAAAGAAAATTGTTTGAGGAAATCTGCTTCGGGCCATGGCTGAGAGTACAGCATCCGGGTGGAGATGCTAATTTGACCCATTTGTGGCTTCAAACCATGACTAGCGATCTACCCGACAGTATACAACGTGGTGAGGAAGAGATATGGTTTCATTTTCCACCGGCGTATACTTGTTTTGGGCGGAAGGAGTTCTGCTTAATCACTGGTCTACGATTCGGACACGATGATGTAGGCCGGTACACTCGTCATATCACCCCGCCCATCATGGTTATCCCGGGTTTTTCCTTATGAGTAAATAGAGAAGCCGAACTTACACGTCGACGACCTGAAGAAATTGTTTAATAAGAAAGATGGTTTTACTCGAATGAATGATGTCGATGTTGTCCGAGTATGCCTTCTAGTACTTTTGTATGCCGGCTTTTTAGGCAGAGAGGCCAGACAACTCAGGAGCTAATATTATTGGTAGAGGACCTAAATGCATGGAATCTGTTTCCGTGGGGTTCGTATATATGGAAAGCTACCTGGACTAAGCTGTCGTCTGCCTTTGATGACCGCAAAAGTTTGCGTGGCGATGGGTCGAAATACACTTTGTCAGGCTTTGTTTGGGCCTTTAAGGTAAGAATTTCTATATAATGTTTTCAAAATTATAATTAATTATTTAACAATTACTAATGTTTGTTATTATATTGTTTGTAGATTTGGATATTCGAGGCTTTCCCCAGCATGCAGACATATGCATTAAAAACTTCAAATGATATTCCTAGGACTATTTCCTGGAAGAGGAAACGTCTGTTTGATTGGGAAGACTTAATACCATATGTGACAATAAATAATGTAAGTTAACACAAATACTATCATATATAAACAAGTTATTAATAGTAGATGTTTAACTTTGTTTGAGTTTTTATATTTTTAGGAGGCCAACACTCCATTACAGAGACTGACACCCACGGAGGCTGAGCTTGCCACTGATTGGTGGCAAGCTAGTCAGCATTTTTTTGATGGCACGAATTATGAGCAACCTCCACTTCCTCCACTTCTAGAGCCATCACCTCACCCAGAGCCATCACCTGATCGATCCGACTATACACCTCTACAACGAGAGCCATCACCTATCCCGTCACATCATCGAGCCTCTTCTCTACCATCACCTCATGATAGGTGACCGACAAAGATGCCACGACTTCTATCTCCCTGTTCTCCACCTCCACCTCCACGGGATGAGTCAAGGGAGTTACGTGATGAGGTCAATGCCTTGCATGAGGAGATCGGTACTCTACGCGATAACGATGGTGCATGGCGTGTGGAGGTGTCTACTTTACGTGGTGAGGTTGCCGCTCTACGTGAGATGGTAGTATCGTTGCAGAATGAGGTTCATACTCTACACAACGAGGTAAGTTTAAGATTTTCCATATTTAACTTGATGATAAATTTACTCGTAATTTCACTTAGATTGCTTAGTAAATTTATTCGGTTACTGCCAATACTGCTAAGCTGTTTATTCTTTAACAATGTGAAGTTAGTATTTGTCTTTTGTTTTGTCTTTTGGTTGAAGTAAATTTATTTGGTTGCTGTCAATTCTGCTAAACTGTGTATTCTTTAACACTGTGAAGTTAGTATTTGTCTTTGTTTTGACTTTTGGTTGAAAGTAAATTTGTTCGGTTGATGCCAATTCTGCTTAACTGTGTATTCTTTAATACTCTGAAGTTAGTATTTGTCTTTGTTTTGTCTTTTGGTTGAAGTAATTCAATCTATTCAAGTTTCAATTTGCAGAAGAAGAAATAGTTTACTTTCGCAACACGAAACTTAAAATCGCAACGTGAAAAATGACTATCGCAACGAGAAATGAAAATCGCAACGACAAAAGCGCAACGCGAAACCAAAATCGCAACGCGAAACTATAATCGCGTTGCGATTTTCATTACGCATTGCGATTCTCTCGTTGCGATTTTCATTTCGCGTTGTGATTCTCTCGTTGCGATTTTCATTTCGCGTTGCGATAGTCATTTTTCACGTTGCGATTTTAAGTTCCAGAAACTATTCTTCTTCTGCAAATTGAAACTTGAATGAATTGCATTACTTCAACCAATAGACAAAGACAAATACTAACTTGACAGTGTTGCAAGTTTGAAACATATTTGTCTTTGTTATCTGATGCATTGTGTGAACTATGATAGAATAATGACTTGGGTGAATACAATGCAAGTTTGAAACATATTTGTCTTTGTTTTCACTGTTTAAATATCATGTCTGTTTATTTACTGATTTTTGTATTTAATTATTTAGCGGCCCGATAAGGTGGATGCTTTACGTCGGGTTTTTCTTGCACGACGGAGTTCACGCATCAGACGGCGTGCACGTGCTATTAAGTCTCTGTACACCCCAATAGTGCGAAGACACCGCAAGAAGAAGCCCGACTCGCCTGTCATCCCTCAAGAGTCCACTCCTATCGTTGAAGAGGCCCCTATCATTCCTCGAGAGTCCCCTCCCACCGTTCAAGAGTCCACTGTCATCGTTGAAGAGGTCCCTCCCACCATTCAAGAGCCCGATTCACATGGCGTCATATGTAAGATTCTTGAGAAACCCTCTGACGTGCAGGACATGATGGATGAGAGTTGGCTCTCGTATGAGTTACCGGCCAGTACCATTCCGGTATCTAAAGTGGAGAGGAGACAACTACCGGACACAATTCTGGATAACACCCTTTGGGCTAAGACCGCAGTTGATTTTTATCTACATGAGCGGAGCCAGGGGTGTTTCACTGACATATGCAAGCTCAACGATGATATCAATTTGTTGCTTGATCGGTCTTGGTGGGGCGTATTATTAGGGGTCGAAGACAATGGCTATTTCAATGGAGGGGCAAGTCTTATATTTTTCTTATATTTCAATTTGATTTTTTTTAAAATTTATGTAAGTCACTAATATATGTCTTTTTTTTGTAAAACAACATATCGATGCGTGGGTGTCACGTCTTCTAATAATTAGGAAACTTAAGAAAAATAAAA